CTCCAGTGCAATTTTCCTTGATAAGATGGATTAATTCAGTAACTGGGGTAATGGGGGAGGCGTGTCAGAGACAGTGAGATTGGCACAGGATAGCACAGGGTCTAGGGCTATTGTACATAGGATCACTATGAGTAGCATACAACTTGACATAACAACAACATCAACAACAGCAATAAAAATGATTGATCCACACCCCCACCAGGCACTCCTCAGCCCCCTGCTCCCACTCTCCCCACCATGAATCCTCATACTTGCTCTACAATAATAGTTTTATATAGTATTTATTGTTATGGTACTGAGTTAGTTCACTTAGCATAATGCTCTCCAGTTCATCCCAAGTTAGGTACTGATTTACAAAATCATTGCTCCTCCATGCTGTGTAGTATCCCATCATGTGAATGTACCATAATTTCTCAATCCATTTGATTGTGGTTGGACATCTGGGATGTTTTCATGTTCTTAAAATGTTGAATAACACTGCTTTGAACATAGGTGTGTAAGTCTCAATTTGAGTAGGAAAGCTAGATATTGTTAAGGAAGAAATGGAATGCATAAATATTGACATACTAGGTATTGCAGAGATGAGATGGACTGGTATGGGGCATTTTGAGTCAGACAATTATATGATTTTTTACTCCAGAGATGAAAAGGTGAGGGAAAATGGGGTTGCTTTCATAGTTAAAAAGTCATTTCTAGATATATCTTAAAATACAATATTGTGAGTGACAGGATAATATCCATACACATACAAGGAAGTCCAGTGAATACCACTATCATTCAGATATATGAACCAACAACCAGAGCCAAAGAAGAGGAAATAGAAGACTTCTACCAACTTTTACAGTCCGAGATTGATCAAACATGCAATCAAGATGCATTAATAATAATAGGTAACTGTAATGCAAATTTGGGGAAAAAAGAAGAAGGATCAGTAGTTTGAAAACATGGACTCAGTGACAGAAATGGAGATGGAGATAGAATTCAATGTTTGGAGTTGATTGAATTTTGAACAATCAACAATTTATTTATGTAAATACGTTTTATAAGAAACATAAATGCAGATTATATACATTGATTTCACCTGATGGTATGTATAGGATTCAGATGATTACTTCGGTGGAAAGAACTGCTGGAGTAATTCAATATCACCTGCTGTGAAAACTAAGCCAGGTTTGATTGTTGAATAGACCAACAACTACTCATATGCAAGTTCAAACTGAAGCTATTGAAAATTAAATCAAATCCGTGTGAACCAAAATATGATCTTGAGTTTATCCCACCTGAATTTCAGAACCATCTCAGGAACAGGTTTGAGGCCTTGAACACCAATGAGCGAACCAGATGAGTTGTGGGAGAATATCATGAGTATCATCCAAGACAAGTGCAAAAGGTCATTTCAAAGACAGAGGAGGAAGAAAAGACCAAAATGAATGTCAGAGGAGACTCTGAATATTGCACTTGAGTGCTGAGAAGCCAAAGTACAGGGAAAAATTCAAGATATTAAAGAGCTGAGCAGAAGATTTCAGAGGGCAGTGTGGGAAGATAAGTAAAATATTACACTGAAATGTGCAAGGAGCTGGAGTCAGAAAAATCAAAAGGGCCAAAATTTCTCAGCATTTTTTAAAAAGTTAATATTAAAATTAAAAGAACTTTTACAGAGACTTAGGGTTTCCAGTCATTCATTGTTGCACTTTTCTCCCTACCTCCCCCCCCCACTCCCTAATGCACTCTTCTTGAAAAAAAAACCAAAAAAAACCAAAAAATTCTTTCATTGTTATGCAGTCTCGCCCCCCACCCCTGCAAGTCCACTCCACTATGAAACCTTCACTCTGGACTTCTGTAATGACAAGAATACCCATTCATATGTCCCTTTTAAACAATTTTCTCCCTCGTCTGTTTCAATGCAATATATATCATTCCTCCTCTCCTTTTCAGTCTTCCCTCAATCCTGATGTCAGTCAAGGAACTGAAAAATAAATTCAAACCTCGAGTTGCTATACTTAAGGATGCTTTGGGCAGAATATTAAATCATCCAGGAAGTATTTAAAGAAGATGGAAAGAGTATATAGAGGCACTGTACCAAAAAGAATTGGCAGAAGCAGAAGAATTTCATGAAACAACATACATATGAGCAAGAGCTTATGGTGATGAAGGAAAAAGTTC